AATCGTTGATATTGGTGTAGTTGGGGACGTACAAATCAGTTGAGTTGGTATTAACGTTGATCTTCGTGGCGAAAGTTGTAAGTTGTTTGGTGTTGAACTGCATATTATTAAAAGTATCTTGTTTCTGCCATTGTGGGTGGTTATGTTTTCTTTGGCTCTGCCGGATAGGTTCTTGTTGCTTATGTTGCTGTTGGTCTTATTGTTGTCGAGGATTGTGTTGGGCCTTGCTGGGACTTCCTCTTGGGCTCTGTACGTGTTTGTTTTGTTGTTGGGTTCGTGTGTTGACAGCTCTGTTTGTTTGATTGATGGTTGCTTCAGCGTATGATTTGCCTCTAGCTGTAGATGTATATATTCTCTTTATAGCTTTATCTCTGAGTTCAGGATAGTTTTTTTTGCTCCGAGTCGGTGCAGAAGTAGTGCCAAAAACCTTTACTTTGGCTTCCATATACGATATATTATCCCAAGCCATCAACGTGTTCACTTCTAGATATCTTTTAAAAAAGGGACATGCAGAGTCTATGCTTTTGTGATTTTTCTCGTCTCTACAGTTAGCACATGATGGAGTCTGAGTTTCACATGAGCCCTCATGTTTTTCTTTTCCACAGTTAAAGCATTTTGTCTTACCTCTGCAGAATTTTGAAGTGTGGCCAAATTTGAAACAGTTGTAGCACTGCATTGGTTTTGGAATGAATGGTTCGACAAACAGTTTTCTTCTGAATAAAAACACATACTCTGGTAGCTCTTTTCCTTCAAAAGTCAACACAATTGACTGACTAGGGATCCATTTGTCATCTTTCGATTGGGACTTTTTATTTCTTCTGTTGAGCCTCCTGACTTCTGTAACTCTTATGTTTTCATCATTTTTAATTTTTTGGGAGATTAAGTCGTCCGGGATCATTGTGTCGATTCCTTTGATGATACCTTTTCTTGTTAGTTTTTGGTTCTGACCACGTCTTGTTATCTGGATTCCTTTGTCTTGCAGGTCANAAAAATTTAGATAAATAAAATTTAAAAATAGGTTTTCTTAATTTAGCTAGTAGCGAATACGGTATGCAGAAGATTCCAAAGAAGGACTAGTCCAGGAGTCTAGTGGGGCTTGTTTGGTGTTGGGATAAGCCCAGCAGGCTCTCAGCTCCCTCCAATTCCCTCCTTCTGTGTTCCTCTTCGTTTAACCGTGAGTTGTTAATAAAATCGTTGATATTGGTGTAGTTGGGGACGTACAAATTAGTTGAGTTGGTGTTAACGTTGATCTTCGTGGCGAAAGTTGTAAGTTATTCGGTGTTGAACTGCATATTATTAAAAGTATCTTGTTTCTGCCATTGTGGGTGGTTATGTTTTATTTGGCTCTGCCGGATAGGTTCTTGTTGCTTATGTTGCTGTTGGTCTTGTTGTTGTCGAGGATTGTGTTGGGCCTTGCTGGGACTTTCTCTTGGGCTCTGTACGTGTTTGTTTTGTTGTTGGATTCGTGTGTTGACAATTTATTTGTTTGGTTGATGGTTGCTTTAGCGTATGATGTGCCTCTAGCTGTAGATGTATATATTCTCTTTATAGCTTTATCTCTGAGTTCAGGATAGTTTTTTTTGCTCCGAGTCGGTGCAGAAGTAGTGCCAAAAACCTTTACTTTGGCTTCCATATACGATATATTATCCCAAGCCATCAACGTGTTCACTTCTAGATATCTTTTAAAAAAGGGACATGCAGAGTCTATGCTTTTGTGATTTTTCTCGTCTCTACAGTTAGCACATGATGGAGTCTGAGTTTCACATGAGCCCTCATGTTTTTCTTTTCCACAGTTAAAGCATTTTGTCTTACCTCTGCAGAATTTTGAAGTGTGGCCAAATTTGAAACAGTTGTAGCACTGCATTGGTTTTGGAATGAATGGTTCGACAAACAGTCTTCTTCTGAATAAAAACACATACTCTGGTAGCTCTTTTCCTTCAAAAGTCAACACAATTGACTGACTAGGGATCCATTTGTCATCTTTCGATTGGGACTTTTTATTTCTTCTGTTGAGCCTCCTGACTTCTGTAACTCTTATGTTTTCATCATTTTTAATTTTTTGGGAGATTAAGTCGTCCGGGATCATTGTGTCGATTCCTTTGATGATACCTTTTCTTGTTAGTTTTTGGTTCTGACCACGTCTTGTTATCTGGATTCCTTTGTCTTGCAGGTCAGGGTCGCCAAGTAGCACATTGGCTTCTGCTTGGTCATCCATGGTGACTTCCACTTGGAATTTTCCTTTGATTTCAAAGCTGGTAATACTTGGAAATTTACCGTCCAAGAACATACCAACCACGAGGGCAGATATTTGTTTGTTTCTGTCTTTATACGAGATCTGTAAGTGGTATGGTCCTTTCTCTGATGGAGTAAATTGTAATTTCATTGCTAACCTCTTTATTCAGTTCTGGGTTTTCTACACAGCTAACTTTGTAGTTTTTACTTGAGCGTAGTTTATCGTTGTCATTGTCGTTATCTCTTTCTTCTCGGTTCCTTTTAGCAGGACCGCTACCGTTCTTTGTGTGTAGCTGGGTTGGGTTATGTCTGCCGCTTTTACCTTCAAGCTCCTTCTGGGAGGAGTGACTCTGATCAGACGGGTAATCCTCTGTGTCCGACCTTTCCATGCCGAGGTCGACGTTTTTCTCCTCTGCGGCCGTAGCCGCCATCATTTTAGAGCTTCCCATATACCCGGTAATTTATAATTACATTTCAGAGCACTATACTCACTACTAATATTTGTAGGTCGTATACACGGAGATCACAATTATGTTGTATCCACAGGTGCGGGAATTTGTAACGACAAAATTTCTGAAAATTGAAGTGCTTGCTCCCTTTTTCTTCCTTTTTTGATTTTTTTTTTATTTTTTTTATTTTATTTTTTCCCTTAGCTCGTGCGAGCCAACATCCGTTCACTTTCGAGACTCGATCGCGACTCGTCAATACAGCTGAGTCAACAGCCTCAGCAGTATCAGCAGTCATATAAATAAACCCAATAGATCTACCAGTAGGTACAGCAGCTACAACAATCACAACAGTAAAACCACCATCCACTGCAACGGTAGTTTATGTACCTGGTAGTGCATTTCGCCTGGGCAAGCACCAGGCCCAAGAGATCTATGAAGCAAAGCCCGAGAGATTCCTTGTACTTGCTCTGGTTGGATGCACACCAGGTGTGAACCCTACTTTTCCTACTGAGGGCGCACTAGACATCAAAATGTTTAAAAAAACACCCAAAGTATGTTTCTTACCTAGGGCAGAAAATACAACTTGGGCACCCGAAGGTCGTGATCGTTGTACGTTTCTACCCGAGGTGAGAACGAGATTTTTTGTATCAAGGGCAGTAAGTGCAACTTAGCGTCTATGGGCACACTTTTCGCTCGCCAATTACTTTCCGTCTTAGGGCGGAAACAAACTTTAGACCCAGTAGGGCCAGAATATTTTTTTCCTCCCGTGGAAGAAAAGTAATTAGTGCGCGGAAAGTGTGCCGTAAGGCAAAGCACTGCACTCAAGGAACGAAAAAAATTTTATTTAAAAAATTGGATAGTTTTTTTGAAGCGAAGCTTCTTATGTATGCGGTTGCAAGCGAGCGCATGCTCTCTTCCTTTTTCTCATCATCACCATACGGCGTAAAAATTGATAAGTGAAATTAGACAAGAAGCTCGAAAATAAAACAGGTGATGTACAAATTTTCAAGATAACATACGAGCCGGAAAAATATCAAAAAACCCCGATTGGAAATTTTCTACATAAGCCCGCTAGCTAGTATACATTGGTCCTCGTGTGGCAAATGCATTGCATTAGATGGTGGCGTGATATTATAGGGGACGAGCTCGGCTCTACCTAAAAATTCTAGTTTGTCTACGTGTATATATATCGACGCCTCGGGCGAAGACTATTCCCTAATTGTCCCTGGACGAAAACTATGCCCTTTCGACATCCTGGGCGAAGACTATGCCCTTTTTTCTAGTCCGGACGAAAACTATGCACTTTTTTGGTCCCCGACGAAGACTATGCCCGTTTTTTTTAGCCTGGGCGAAGACTATGCCCTTTTCTCAAGCCTGGACGAAGACTATGCCCTTTTTTCTTTACACGAATTAAAATTAAAAATAAATGCTATAGTAGTGTTAATAAGAACTTTAAGTATATCAGACGGTCTCTGTAGAGGCACAAGATTAAAAATAACAAAACTATTTAAGTATAATATAGAAGCAGAAATAATAACGGGAGAAAGAAAAGGAACAAAGTTTAAATTTCATGAATAACATTGAATACTGGCACTTTATCATCATTACCTTTCGTCTTATATAAAAAAGTATTCCTTTGTATTAGAATTTTTCATGACTATCAACAAATCACAAGGGCAGAGTTTTGATTCCCTGGAATTGTATATTAAAAAACCGTTATATGCTGCTTTATCAAGTTGTAAGAATCCAAAAAAAATTTTTATTCAAATTGAATCCGAGAATAAATCAGAAATTGAAAATATTGTTNGGCACAAGATTAAAAATAACAAAACTATTTAAGTATAATATAGAAGCAGAAATAATTATGGGAGAAAAAAAAGCAAAGTTTATATTCCTAGAATAACATTGAATACTGGCACCTTATTATCATTACCTTTTGTCTGATTTAGAAAACAGTTTTCCTTTGTATAAGCATGTTCTATATTCATTAAAAAATCAGAAAAATAGAGTTTTGATTCTTTAGTTATCTTTCCGTTATCTCTTTTGTTTAAAACTTAAGTACATCAATATCTATGATTTGAGCTGCACGGTCAGATCTATTGTATGTTAAAGGAAAAAAAAAACAGTGACAACAATACTATGGCAAATAATTTTCGTTTTCCACAGTATTAATGTCACTAATTTTATTTTCCTTTTTTCATCGATGTATAACTATCTCCCTCTCTCGCTCTGTGTTGCCACTGCTACTCTGTGCCTCCCCCCCCCCCACATCTAAAAGTGCATACTTTTTTCTTACACTTTCTGACTGATGGGTCTCTGTTACCAACCGTCCTTATGTTCTTGTACCAGGAAATACAACACATACTCTGGTAGCTCTTTTCCTTCAAAAGTCAACACAATCGACTGACTAGGGATCCATTTGTCATCTTTCGATTGGGACTTTTTATTTCTTCTGTTGAGCCTCCTGACTTCTGTAACTCTAATGTTTTCATCATTTTTAATTTTTTGAGAGATTAAGTCGTCCGGGATCATTGTGTCGATTCCTTTGATGATACCTTTTCTTGTTAGTTTTTGGTTCTGACCACGTCTTGTTATCTGGATTCCTTTGTCTTGCAGGTCAGGGTCGCCAAGTAGCACATTGGCTTCTGCTTGGTCATCCATGGTGACTTCCACTTGGAATTTTCCTTTGATTTCAAAGCTGGTAATACTTGGAAATTTACCGTCCAAGAACATACAAACCACGAGGGCAGATATTTGTTTGTTTCTGTCTTTATACGAGATCTGTAAGTGGTATGGTCCTTTCTCTGATGGAGTAAATTGTAATTTCATTGCTAACCTCTTTATTCAGTTCTGGGTTTTCTACACAGCTAACTTTGTAGTTTTTACTTGAGCGTAGTTTATCGTTGTCATTGTCGTTATCTCTTTCTTCTCGGTTCCTTTTAGCAGGACCGCTACCGTTCTTTGTGTGTAGCTGGGTTGGGTTATGTCTGCCGCTTTTACCTTCAAGCTCCTTCTGGGAGGAGTGACTCTGATCAGACGGGTAATCCTCTGTGTCCGACCTTTCCATGCCGAGGTCGACGTTTTTCTCCTCTGCGGCCGTAGCCGCCATCATTTTAGAGCTTCCCATATACCCGGTAATTTATAATTACATTTCAGAGCACTATACTCACTACTAATATTTGTAGGTCGTATACACGGAGATCACAATTATGTTGTATCCACAGGTGCGGGAATTTGTAACGACAAAATTTCTGAAAATTGAAGTGCTTGCTCCCTTTTTCTTCCTTTTTTGATTTTTTTTTTATTTTTTTTATTTTATTTTTTCCCTTAGCTCGTGCGAGCCAACATCCGTTCACTTTCGAGACTCGATCGCGACTCGTCAATACAGCTGAGTCAACAGCCTCAGCAGTATCAGCAGTCATATAAATAAACCCAATAGATCTACCAGTAGGTACAGCAGCTACAACAATCACAACAGTAAAACCACCATCCACTGCAACGGTAGTTTATGTACCTGGTAGTGCATTTCGCCTGGGCAAGCACCAGGCCCAAGAGATCTATGAAGCAAAGCCCGAGAGATTCCTTGTACTTGCTCTGGTTGGATGCACACCAGGTGTGAACCCTACTTTTCCTACTGAGGGCGCACTAGACATCAAAATGTTTAAAAAAACACCCAAAGTATGTTTCTTACCTAGGGCAGAAAATACAACTTGGGCACCCGAAGGTCGTGATCGTTGTACGTTTCTACCCGAGGTGAGAACGAGATTTTTTGTATCAAGGGCAGTAAGTGCAACTTAGCGTCTATGGGCACACTTTTCGCTCGCCAATTACTTTCCGTCTTAGGGCGGAAACAAACTTTAGACCCAGTAGGGCCAGAATATTTTTTTCCTCCCGTGGAAGAAAAGTAATTAG